TGCTAACATGCTATCTATAAAGCACATTTAATTTTCAATCTGTCAAAGGTATATGAATGCCACTTACAAAAAGTCACTGGGTTCAAAAGAGTGTCATAAAGTCCTGATATGAATGTTTTCATGTGTTTGATCAGCATTCCATGGTTGAAAATACCAAGTCATTGGAAAAGTCATGACACATTTTTGTATAGAAATATAGAAAAATATGTTATGACTTTTCTGACAACCCAGTACTTAGGCAGAAAATAAAGAGAATAATACATTTTTGGTAATAATACATTTTGGTAATAATACACTTTGTTTCCTAAAACAAAAATGACTAATGATGCTTTATATTGCTTTTGTTAAGCCTTCAGTAGTCAACCAGTTAGAAATACTCTGTTCTGCGACCAGCAGATTGCCTAATGGTTATGTCACTGGACTCCCACATAGTCAACTGTGGTTTGAGTCCTGGATTTGGCAGCATAAAACTCATGCTGAGTGCTTGTGCACACGTGCCCAAAATCCCAAGAGGAGAATGAGAAGGGATTGTGGTGTGGCCATCACCCCTGGGAGGGGATTAATCACTCTCTTTCTCTGTCTCTGTCTCTCCAGCAAACACACACACCCTATAGCAAAAATCTCTCTCTCTAAAAAAAAGAAAGAAAAAGAAATATTCTGTTTTGTCTCATGTTTGTCATTATAAGTTACACATTTTAAAAAATAAATATTAGCTCATAATTTTATTTATAAATTAATGTACAAAATATCAAGAAGCAATGATTTTGGATGTTTTCCTAAACTTAAGTTTAAACTTTTTTGTGAGCAATCTAGTTTGGTGTTTTAGAATATGAACAAAATGCTTAGGCATTCTGAACTTCAGTGACTTCATTTATAAAATAGAAATACTATTATGTTGTATATTAACTATCAGAATTGGAGAAAAATACATGCAGAGCAACCATCTCAATGTCTGACACAGGCTAAGGGCTTATAGTATTGTTGTATGAGTAAGATGTTAAATAAAACATGGCCTAAATTAATAATCTAGTATAGTATTTGAGATACTTCTGGTGTGGACTTCCAAACAACAAAATTTTTAGGAAAAACATTCAATATGAAAGATAATTTATCCTTTCTCACATATGAATATATGTAATAACCCAGTACTTGCCTCAAAATAGAAGCAATGTCTTTTGACAAGTAATCTGAGAATCATTTTTTTTTAAAGCTAGTCACCAAAAGTTAAATAAATTAGTGCTGATTCATTATAATTGAAAAAAAAAATAGGCACTTCTGATATAACTTGAATCTTAAAGGAAGGAACTCATTGAAAGTCTTTAAGTAACACTTTTTGTTAAAGGTTTCCAATTATCAATGAAAGAAATGAGTTTCTTAAATTAGTTTTTACATTTACTACAAAGGAATGGGGCAAGTAATGAAAGGTCAGAACTTTCTACATCACAGTTTAACTTATTATTTAAAAAGTTATTTTATAGTAGTATCTTAATATACCCTTTCAGTGCTTAATAAATTAATTGATTGGAATAAATTAACTTTTTATGTGCAAATTTATAAGGGCGATGGTTGGGGAGCTCATGGGTTTTTATTAGCATGACTTAAATTTAACCATTCACCATTTCTGAAAAACTTAGTTTGAGTCATACATAATAGCATACCTTAAGGACAATAAAAAAAAAAAAAAGGAAAGAAAAGAAAACTTGGTAAGGCAGAATTATCCAAATTTCTACTCTTATTTCTTTTTTTTTTCCTACCTAAGAAGACATCATGTTTCAAGTCAAAAAATAATGTCTCTGGATTCTGCTGAGCACCAGTAATATTATATTGATGTCATTTGCCTAGGAGAGTTAGGGCTCATGAAGACTCCAATTATAAATCTTAGATTTCAAGCCTTTATGACTTCCTCATAAAAGCTGCTATCAGTTTAAAATTTCTTATTCAAGGTCTTCTGTTAATTTCCCAATCTCAAATCAAAGGTGGAATAAACAGAAAAATCTGCCATCCAACAGACAATTAAGAAAGTCAAGTGGTGTCTTTCGGTGTATTTGACTCTGGTTATTTGCAGTAGTTGTTTTCTATGAAGTTGTCCCAAACACTGAATTAGTCAATAATAAACTATTTCTTCTAGAGGAAATACAGTATTAGTTTCTTTGGAGCCTTGGGTCAAAAGATTTTTTATCAATCAATACATAACTTTGTTTTATGCATGTTTCTGTTTAAAGATACCTTTTTATTAAATAATGTTGATTCATTATCATTGGCCTCACAGCCAGCAGCACTATAGCTCATGCCTGAATAAAGCTTAATACACATTTATTCTCATAAGGTACTTCACAGACGTCCTGTGCTTAGGAACACTAGGGAGTCCTCAGCGCTACATTTGGAGGCAGTGTCAACAAAATTAGCAACAGAAAATACAAAAGGGGAAACATTAAATTAAATATCCCATGCAGTAAACATAGTTTGAAAAGGGCACGGGATTGCAGTGTATGAGCTGAAACAAGAGGCCCCAGAGCTGTCTCTTTCCACTCCACTGGATATGTAGGCAACTAGGTAACTCCCAGTTTTTGCCTCTCTGCACATATTCATGAATGAACATAGAAGAATTGAGTGTTCTGAGCCCAGAGTAACACTACAGGTAGCAGGTAAGTCCATCTCCTTTCTTGTGGACACGGAGGAGGGGGGAAAAAAAGTACTGAGTATCGGGGCCAGAAGGTGGTGTAGTGGTTAAGGTACTGAACTTCCACATGATTGACCATGGTTCAAGTCCTGGACCTGGCAACTTGCTTTCTCACATGCCCTTTCTCTGTCTCTCTGGTCAAATTACATATTAAAAAAATAATAATAACAAATAAAAAAATAAATAAATAATTCTTTAAAAAAAGAAGTACTGAGTGTTGACTTTGTGATACAAAAGTTTTTAACGTGTAGATGAATTTACGAATAGTCTGCAAAAAATGAGGATTGATTGACAGTATATCTTTATTTTTTTTTTTTTTGAGATGTTTTCGCTATAGGGCGCGTGCGCTCGCCAGACAGAGAGAGACAGAGCGACAGAAAGCGAGAAATCACCCCCCAGGGGGGATGGTCACGCCGCAATCCCTTCTCCATTCTCCTCTCGGGATCTTGGGCATGCACGCACACGCGCCCGGCGTGAGTTTTAAGCCACCGGGTCCAGGACGCGAACCGCGGTCGACTACGTGGGAGTCCAGCGACATAGCCATTACGCTAACTGCTGGTTCCCGACAGTATATCTTAATGCATCAAAACGAATCCAAATTAGCGATCACTGTAGAACTCAGAAATCTAGGTAAGTGCAATTAGGAGTTATGGGAGAGAGGCTCCAGAAGAGCCAAGAGACTTTTGCCACTTTTCAGGCTTCAGTGGGTGAGAGAACTGCCTGGGAGAATCCCAAGACTCACAACTATCTTCCAGGACACTAATTACTTCCTGGGATAACAGTGCAACATACTGACCGCAGATTGGGCAGAGGACGGCATGTGACAGTCTAACGTGCCTCAGTGTATTTCATCCTATGGGATTTTCCCAATTTATAGGAAAAAATGTAGTAAATTTTAATACAACTTTTTGTCTGGTATGGCTATCCAGTGTCTGAATGATCAAGACCTGGATATTCCATTAAAATCAGTGAGAAGGGGAAGATGGCATAATGGTTACGTCACTAGACTCCCACATAGTTGACTGTGGTTCAAGTCCCAGACCTGGTGGCTTGAAACTCACACCGGGCACATGTGTATGTGTGTGTCATGACGAGCATGTGTGTGTGTGTGCCCAAAATCCTGAGAGGAGAACGGAGGGGAAGGGATCGTGCTATGGCCATCTTCCCTGGGGGGAAGGGATTTCTTGCATTCTGTCTCTGTGGTAAGTGTATGTGCCCTATGGCAAAAAATCTCTCTTAAAAAAATAATCAGTGAAAAGGGAGTTGGAATTTAACCTCCATGCCACCTGCTGGCTCCAGCTGCTTCTGAGCACTGGAGTAGAGCCTGGGACAGAGGTCACTCACTCTGGTTATCTTCTCTTCTGGGAGGCTACGGTAACATTTTATTTCCTATTGCATTAACATGTCTGTTGTATATAGCATTGAGTGTCTTTTAATAGTTACCAAAATGAGATCAATCATTCATACAAATGTGGAAAGAGCTTCATGTACACTTTATTTAGAATAATTAAAAATGTGACTGGTTTCTGGAAAGAAAATAGAGGGCAAAACAAAGGTTATTGTCTGGTATACACTTCAACAGAATCTATGTCAACATTTACCGAGCACCTAATACGATTCTGAGTATTCAAAAAATTACTTAATAATATTGACCTATTTTTTGATTAATAATGCACTGCCTAAGTATTAAAATCTGGCATTTCACTCTGTTTTCAAAGAATGAGGTTAATAAAAAATTTTTACAGGGCTTTATTTTCATAGATTTTTTTTATCAAACTTACTAAACTGCTTTTGCAAATTCTAGGCTGAGCTACCAATAAAGAAAATTGGCGCTTTATCTTCCTGATAAGAAAAGCAGGATTAAGTTGAAGTGATTTTCATAGTTGTCATTCATACAAGTATAAACTACAAAACACATTTTGGGAAGTTGAAGATGTTTCTGCATTAAGAATGTGGACTGCAATCTAAAGATGAATACATCACAAAAGAAAAATACGGTCCCATCACCACATATTAGCTCTGATTTTACCTGCCATCGGAAAATAATTTAGGAAGCCTCTTTGGTTTCTACAATTTAATTAAGGGCCTCCAACTCAAGAGTAAACATGAACTATAGCTTTGTTTTTCTTTCTTTGAATTCAAAGGGTGCAGTTTTAAAATCATGACATGCTGTAAGGAAAAGTTAAATGATCAGCAAGATCTAAATTTATTTGCAACTAGCTTGAGGATCCTGACAATAAGCCATTATTCCATTACAATGCTTTGAAGGATGAATCCAGCAAGTACAGGGAAAGCTAGGAAACCTCTATAATTCTGTCACTCTAAGGGCAGATGTATGAAATTTTATTGTACATGAGGTTTAAAAACGCAGATTTTTAAATGGGCTTGTTCAAACAGCCTACTTTGTAAGGGACGTGGGTGTGCGAGTTTTGTCACACAGGGGCCTCTCGTGCACATCTAATTGGAAAATATACCCCCCCCCTTCTAAAGCATAAGATGTTAGCAGAATTTTAATTAGGAAGCTGGGGTTTCAGATGCTTTTGCTGATTTGCTTGTAATAGCTCCGTCTGAAGTCCAATTACATATTTACCATCATTTATCTGCTGCAAATAGAATAGGAAACAGATTACATTTGCCTTCCAACACCCATCCGTGTCTTTCTGAGGTTATCAATTTACCTTAATCAGCCAAGTAATAATTTGTTATTCCAATAGGGATTCAAGAAATATTTCAGGTGCTTTGTTCATCCTGTTCATTTAACATGTAATCCTTAAAACATCATTAAGTGATGAAGAAAATTGGGAAGGAGTAATGTCAGTAATTTATCTAAACTGGTTCGAAGCCACTGAATGCCATTAGTCTATTTTATTTGCATGACTTTCTCCTGTGAGATAATGTTTATCAGGTCCAACTTAATTATGATTCTGTTTCTTACTGTGAATCTTGAATGGTAAAGAAACGAATGCAATGACATGCATTTCTTTCAGTGACTGTCACTCTCTCCATCTGAGGTCTGACTCCTTTGAAAAAGGAATTTCTTAGTGACCTATATGCTCATGTCAATGTAGGATTAAACTTTCTGTTTAACTAGAAATTTTGAAGAGGAGTTCAAATAGTCAACACCAAACTTTTATGCTTGACCCCAAATTGGAATTTACAGATTTACCAATTAAATAAATTATAGAAGGCCCAGTTAGATTTGAATTATTTCTAGTTGCTTATGTATATATACATTGTGATACATATGTATACTGAAATGGAAATCCTTACATGATTTTTATTTATTTCTTATTCATACACAGTTAGAAACTCATATTTTATTAGGCTTTCTACATGTACTTGCCAGAGAAAGACAGAAAGACAGAGAGAGAGAGAGAGAGAGAGAGAGAGAGGAGAGAAGGGAGAGAGAGAGAGAGAGAAGGGAGAGAGAGAGAGAGAGAAAGTATCCACAGTGGATAGTCATGCCATAATCCTGTCTTCATCCTCCTAGGATTTGGGCATGCGCACATATGCACTACACCTGCACCTGGCATATTTTTCAAGCTGCTGGGGCCGGGAATTGAACCAAGGTTGGCCATGTGGGATCTGGCTCTCCTAATGGTTAGGCTACTGAGCTAGCCCAACTCTGGCCATGTTATCCAAGATTGGAGTCCTTTAGGACATACAGTTGCAGAGAGTCTACGGTCCTGTGTGTGTGCCTTATGTTTGCTCCATCTTTTATTTTTGGAGAGGTTTTTGCTATAGGGCGTGCACGCTCACCAGAAAAACAGAGAGACAAAAAGCAAGAAATCATCCCCCAAGGGGGATGGCCATGCCGCAATCCCTTCTCCTCCATTCACCTCTCAGGATCTTGGGCATGTACACACACCTGGCATGAGTTTAAGCCACCAGTCGGGACTTGAACCACAGTCAACTACATGGGGGTCCAGCGACATAGCCATTACGCAAATTGCTGGTTCTAACGTTTGATCCATGTTTAATGCTCAGAACAACTGTTTAGTTGTCAAAAGCTACAAGGGATTAATTCTCTTTATCAATTATCCATATCAATATGCTCTTTAATTTCCTCTCACTCTGTCTCTTCAAAAAGTACTATTCTAGGGCCAGCAGTTGATGTGGTTAAGGTACTAGGCTCCCACATGGTTGACCATGGTTTGAGTCCTGGACCTGGAAGCTTGCAAATCATGCTGGGTGCATATGGGTGTTTGCCCACAGTCCCAGGAAGAGAGTAGAGGACAAGGGATTGTGCCATGGCCACCCCCCCTAGTGGATAATTTCTCATTTTTCCCCTCTGTCATCTGTCTCTGATTCTCCATAACAAAAAAAAAAAAAAAAAAAAGAAAAGAAAGAAACGAAAAGGAAAAAGTGCTATCCCATGCCAGTATAGATAATCATGCCTTTAACTATACATGTCTTTCAATTTTAATCTCCCTGTAGAAATAGTATTGTAAAATTGGCTCTGTGGAATGATTCTAAAGGGGACTAATTCTCCACATAGACTCCAAACGTCAGTCCACTGCTGGTATCCCCAGGGCATTGGTTTCAAAATCTGTGCAGATACCAAACTTGTCAAGTGCTCAAGTCCCTTATATTAAATGGTATAAGGTTTGTATTTCAACTATGCATATCCTTCCATATACTTTATATTCCTTTTAGATTTCTTTTAGTATCTAATATGATGCCTACACATCATTTAATTTGCATGGATTCTTGGTATGTGGCAAATTTAAGTTGTCCATTTGGATGTTTTGGGACCTGTTTTGTTTAACATTTTTAACTTGATTTGGGTGAATCTGAGAATAGGTAACTCGCAGGCATGATGGGTCAACTGTACTACTGGTGTGTTAAAACCTACAAATTATCAATGACTTCCTTATTTTACCCTCACCATCTTTCATCTTCCTAGAATGTATTTTTCTGCCTTTTCCATCTGGTTGTTCACCCTCTTCATTTATTGTTCCTGCCGGGGTCTATCTTTTCAGGTGTGCTCACTGCTCCCTGCATTGCAAGCTCTTCCTGTGCTCATCCTGAAAACGATGGAGAAATGGAAGAGAAGGGATTGTGGCATAACCATGCCACATTGGTAGGAGCTTTCTCCCTTTCCCTCTCTCTGTGTCTCTGTCTCTCTCTGGAAAGCACATGTTCCCTCTGGCACTTAAAACATAAACAAAAATCTTTAATGGAGTCTTGTATATACATTAGTCTCTTGCTAATTTCCAAAGTTTCTATTTCAGCGAAACGGAAGACAATATTCTTAAATACAAACTCCACACTAATTTACTCCTCCCCCAATGTTGTAAATAATGTTACCTCTATCTGGTCATCCCCAGAGTCAATACACATACGGGTATGCATCACTAGAATGAGCAGAAATAAATGTCTAATATTGACAAGTGAAGGAAAATTAGCAAAAATGTACTAGAGGATTTAAAAAAATGTATCCTCCAGGTAAAAAGTCCCAGTAACTAACTGATGAAACTAAATGAGGTCTCGTTTCATCAACTATAGATAACGCCTCTTTCTAACACACTCAAATTCTTTATAAACATTTAAAATACATTATAAAATTTCAAAATCTAGGTATTTAATAGCTCCATATCCCATAGAAGATGAACCATGCTTGGGCCTTCCTGGCTCTTTAAATTATTATGACTTTACTTTTGTTTTAATGCACCCATCAACTTTTGTTGGCGTCATTCATGAGCGGAATGCCTTACAAGTTCGTCAATACGTTCACGTTTCTATCATCCCATTAAAACTCTAAGTCCAGAGTTCTTAGCATTTGTGCTCAATAAAAAATCTGTCCCAGACACTCTACAATTAACCACTTAATTAATATAACTAATTCAATAGAACCTAATTTATATACTTACCATTGAGAGTGCTTCTATCAATCAAATTAGTATCAACTGGCCAGTAGCCTCCATCTCCATGACGACCTGTTTATTAGGGAAGCATGACAGCCTATTAGCGGGCGCACACCATGTAAGGACAAATGAAACCAAACAAACAGATAAAATGAGAAAAATTAAGGACACACTAACACATTATTTGACCACATTAAAAAAGTCCGACAATATAAATACTATCATAACTTGTGAGAAAATGTATGTTTCTTCTGTGAGAAAAATCTATCATGGAAATGGACTTTCTTAAACAAGCGGAATTCAATTCCTCTTTGTGAAACTATCCCTCTCCTTGTTTTTAAGCTGTCAATATTTTTGTTAAAGTGTCAAAAAAAAAAAAAAAAGAAAAGGTACAGTAAGGTATCAGTTTAAATAGTTTAAATGTTGCTCTCCTGACTATTTCAGAGCAGAAAGGACACAGGTCATAGCTCCTAGGTTTGAGTATGCGGCCACCCATCTAACAAGTGACACATGATTGTTACCATCCTACAAGGGGATGGCACATCTCATCTGTACCTTGGCCTTGGCCACTCTTTCATGCCGAATGAGAGGCCTGAGAATAAGATACTAAGGTGGGCGTAAAGTGTAGGGAGTATGTCACCACCCATATGATCTGGATATTTCTTTCCTATTTTTTTTGGAGAGGTTTTTGCTATAGGGTGCGTGCGCTTGCCAGACAGACAGAGAGAGACATAGAGACAGAAAGTGAGAAATCACCCCCCAGGGGGGATGGTCACGTCGCAATCCCTTCTCCTCCATTCTCCTCTCGGGATCTGGGGCATGCACGCACACGCGCCTGGTGTGAGTTTTAAGCCACCGGGTCCAGGACGTGAACCGCGGTCTACTACGTGGGAGTCCAGCGACATAGCCGTTACGCTAACTGCTGGTTCCCATGATCTGGATATTTCTCACAAATTCATCATGAAAGGAAGGAAGGTCCCTTTAGTATTGCATTACGGAGAACACTGCTTTCCATTAGGTGTTGACGAATTTTGGAAGTAGTGTTTAAGAGAATTGAGCCAGGAATTAACCAGAAATAATTATACTACCATCCAAAATTGAATGAATAGTGTTTCACCCAAGTAATCCCTTTTTTTATTGATATGTTTGTAGAACTGTAATTATTTGATTCGATTTTGAGTTCTAGAATATCTAGGCAGACCACTCACTTAGAGAAAAACATTTGAACTTTGAATCTGCATGCAAACCCATACCAGAACTCAGCTAATTCTCCATTTTACTTGCTTAAAAGGGTTATTTCTAAAAGCAGCTATACCCGGTGGATGATGTAGAGGAAGCCAACTGGGGCAGTCAGCTACAAAAACAGGATGTTTTTTTCACATTTATAGATTTGAGTTTTCTTCATCTCTATCACTTTCAAGTCCTGGTCTTCTGACATTCTTTTGCATACCAAACACTCCTCTTACTAAAGCTTTCCCAAGATCTCATCATTTTATTTGCAAAAGAGCTTTGAAGAAACAACTTGAAATCCTGTTAACTGACTGTAGACTCACAATTTAAAAAATTCTTTTGATATCAAGTCAGAGTATGTCAAGCTTCCAACAAGCAATGAAATAAGTTAATCCAATTATATTCTGTCTTCAGCATAAAACAGCACATTTAAAATCTTCTGTGCTAATAATGAATGTGAGTATGTAAGGATGGGAGCAAAAATGGTGGCTCCTGGGTGTGTGTTTGATAGGGAGGGGAGGTGGTAGGGAGATAAGCAACTGAAACGAGCAGAAATAGTGAAAGTTTTGGTGGACTGACTAAAATGTGGACAAGTCTAAGCCTTTCTCCAAATATCTTGTTTATGTAATTCTGACACATTTGGGGTTTCAATGAGCAGAGGATAAGCTTTGGTCATGAGCTACTTGTGAGATCAATGTTGAAAGAAATGAAACAAGACAGGAAGTTCTGTATGAATATCAGGATGACTCTGCTAGCAACGGAAAGCAGCTAACTTGCAAAGCAGTCAGCCAAAAGAAATGCTAACAACCCTATCACTTAGGCCAGTAAAGCAATAAATGATTCCTGTTGGGAGTAATCCTGTATTGGCTAGAAATTAGGTAGATAGCCGCAGAGGATTTTCCTTTTCCTCTAGCATTCTGACAAATATCTTTTTAATGAAGTTTCCAACTCTCCCTGCTAGTTTGTGGGAGATGCAAAAACAAGCCCACAAGCACATCCATATATTACCTAGACATAAAGTTCTATGAGCATGGCACCCCTTAGATTTAGTGAGGCTATTGATTCCATGGTGAATTTCAATAGATGGAAAAGAAATCAGATGTCATATAGGTCAGACTGCTAAGTAAGATAAAGGAAGTCTGGAAATGCTTCCAAATAGAGGTAGCTTCAACCTCGGGTGTTCTACCCACCGAACGTAGTATATTGACACGGATGAACTTTTTGTTGGTTATAATTAGATTGATAACACAAAAGAAAATTAAGTAACTCTTAACAAGCCCAATAGAAAGTACTTTAAAGAAATGTGATATCATCAACGAGCAAGATTGGATTTATGGTAATTTAGATTTCTTGCACCACTTCGGCAGAGAAACATAAAACGTATTTCTGGGCTATTGATGAGTCTGGGATCTCTTCATCCAAAGAACAAAATTTTAATTTTCTATGCTGTGAATTTCTGGTCTCTGAAACATGTCTTTTAAATTCCCGGAAGTATTCCTTTGTGGAATAAAAATAAGTAATAATAATAAGAAGGGATTCTCCCATGGCTTTAAGACAAGCAGTGCAAAGTTTTGAAATAGAACATTGTGAATTAAAGAGGAAAGGATACTGGGAGTTATTGCCTGGCATGTTAGAGGACTTTTAAGGGCTTGTTGCTATGGAACAAATATTGAATGTGTTTAATTAACTTGGTTAATTTAATAAGCACTGATTTAGTAAAATAAAGGCCTAATTAGAATTTAGAAGCTGGAGTAAATGTCACTTAATACAAAGATATAAACTACTATCCTATCCCACCGGTCTTAATTTTAATAATGGAGCATAAAACTGGTAATATTTCAGTCAACATTTATGAAATGTCTACTATAGAGAATAAATAGTTCTAGATCCTCAGGGAAAGGGTAGTATAAAAAGATAGATTAGATATGGATCTTACCATGACAGATATAGTTGGTTCATTGCATCTAGAGTCTATCCAGGCTTATTGGTGGCTAATATTAACCAACTGTAAAGGATTCTTAATTTGCTCTTACTTTAAAGATTTAAGAATAATTTAATGTATCTATTAATATAAATGTTTGATTTAAAATGATATAAAATATATCTGGTTTTATTAAAGAAAGTGCATGCAAATAATACATAATAAATTACTTTTAGTCATAGAACATGATGTATTCCACAATTACATCTATTTAAAAAGCCTTAAATTACTATTTTTGAATACTATATTAAATGTTTTAACATTTTCTCAAGTAATTCAATGATTTTATGAAAATTTTAACATAACTTTTTGTAAGTGATGTAATAAATTCCAATACATCTAGGGTTCTTTTTCAAATAAAGTTCAACGTGGTAAAAATAATTGAAAATGGGAAGTATGTGTTTTCTTTTCTTCCTTTTTTCTCTTTGTCTTTAAATGTCAGAAGGTAGGTGCATATACTAAGGGGGGGGGGAGAGGAAGAGGCCCCTATAGGGCTTGATCATATTACAATATCTTTTTCCTCCATTCCTCAGTCTCATGAAGGTCTTGTTATATGCCCAGGTTTTTAAGCCACCAGAGCTGGGATGGACTGAACTTCTACACTATAGGGCCAGTTCTACATTTTCTTTTTTTATAGGACTTAATAAAATCATGATTTTAATATGAATACAGTGATCAAAATGTACTATATAATATTATATCTTAGAAAATGTAAAGAAAAATGCTACATTTTATTCGTGTGTCCATATTCCTTTAATGACAAACATTGAGGGTAGGAAAATAGTTAAGATGCTAAAGAGTAATGAATTTATGTGTCACTTAATCAACTAGGAATTTCATGCAGATAATTACATCAAAAATAATAATAAAAACCTGCCAGAAAATTTTGATAATCAGAGCAAATATTTGCTACTTTTACCTTAGATTTTGAAACCAAGAAACGGTCGCTGCAGGGGGGAAAAAAATCAATGTGTAGTTGACTTAAGAAAGGAAGATTGTGACAGTTTTTGAGTTATTAAAAAATAGTTTGCATTATATTTAAATATATTTTATTTAGCTAACTCCTCGGTAGGTCACAATCACAACTTTTATGCTTCTGTCTTGTATTTGAATTAAAAAATATAAATCATAAATTCATTTAAGGAATTATATTTATTCAAAGTATAGATCTCAAAAAATAAAAGTATAGATCTCAATGAAGAGTTTTCTTTTGATCACTTTTGGGCAAGGGCCATGTAGCTTCCTTGAATAAAAGCTAAGGTTTCCATGATTTCCTTTGCTCTATGGATTGAGGAAATTGAGGAAAAAATGAACATAATTACTATGGCCTCATGTTAAAGAATATTCATTGTTTTATTCCTTAGTGCTTACCAAAGTGACATTTATACTGTATTATCACTGTTGAGTGACTAATATCAGATAGATAATTTGTAATGTGTTACTGATCTATACAACTATTACATTGTTACCATGATACAATTTATCTTTATGTTCTTGTTCTTGTTCTTTGTGTCACTAAAAATACTGTTTCTGTATTTGTATTTAGCTGTGTGGGTGCCTATGTGTGTATGTGTAAAATGAAACAGCATTGATGTTTATGTCAAATCCTTACTTGTAGCACACATGAGCAGATGGAGAATATTTCCCATGGTAAAAAGTTTACAGCACCTACCAAAGATAAATTCCACTGGGATTTCAGTGCTAGTGTCTGGTTTTTCTGTGTGGATGCTTATAAATTCAGAGAGGAGAGAATGGGAAATTAATCTGCAGAGGACATGGGAGAACCTGGAATGTGGTAGTTCTAATCTTTTCTTTAATCCATCTTCCCTGAATGGGATAACAGAGGGCCTTTCAGGATGCC